TTAAGAACAAATCTGTGCGTACGAACGGTTCTTGCATGAGGCCCAATGTGTCTTGTTTATAATAATGCCATAAGGCCAAAAGGGAAAGAATGCATGCTGTGATTTGTTACAGTACCAACCAAAAAATATAAACAAAGATAAAAGTTACAATCCTGGGAATAAAACGTAACTGCATTTCAACAGCTGGGCACGATTTTGGTTTTTAGAACAAATAAAAAAAAAAATAAAACAAACAACTAGTAAAAACAAAGATCTTGATAAAATGTCCAAAACTGAATTAACAAGATAAATACTGAATAATTTACAAAACTTAACAACAAATCAGATTTTCTGATTGAGTCACCACTGAATCTGGTGCCTTGCCCGTCCAACAGCGTCACAGGTTTGAAGGGAAAGTATGCCAAGGACAGTTTGCCTTTAGTGGACTGGTGTGACTCAAGGGTTTCTCACAAGGGAACAGAAAACTCTGCTTTGTGGAGCGGCTGGAGTGCAAGCACAAAAAGGATTTGTGAACATCTTGTTCTCTGGTTGTCTTTAATTTGTTCAAAGATCATAAAACGCAGCCAGATGACTGCTAACAAAGACACAGATCAGATTTAAGGGTACAGACATTAGGGTTGGGCATAATCGTATCGTGTGCAATTAATCGTCAGAAAAACATTAATCGATTACTTTTTGGCACTTGATTAATACGATTAATGCCACCATCAGTCGGCTCGGTGCTCCTCTCTGCTTCAAATACGACAAACGTTAAAAAGAAAAAGTTCTGTAATTTAATTATCTATCCACAATTTAAATATTGCTGTAAAGCCTGTAGTCTGTAATTTTGACACAATTTAGAGCAGATTTTTACAAAGAGCAAATCTTTCCCACTAAATTAGTCATTTGACTAGGGCATGCAGTGGTCCAGGGACTCCAGGGGATTAATAGTCAGATTAATCGTTATTGGCTAAATACCACAATTAATCGTGATTAATTTTTTTTGCCAATATTGCCCAACCCTAACAGATATAAACATTTATTTGAGGGGAGAGAACAAACTGTCTAAACCTTGTGTGCTGTTGCTTTAAAATATCTCACATTTATATTGTGTTGGCCCAATGCAAACACACAAATAATTAAGGGAAATTTTAGAGCAGGAGTGCATTAAAACACAGTAACCTTAGTGTAATATACCCACTAACCAAGTAATGGAAAAAACAACTAAATTTTACATTTGATCTAGATATAATAATATTCGACATTAAATGAACAGGTAGGCCATTGAATTAATTCACTACTTCCTTTTTAACAATACTCAAGTCAGCCATCGTACTAGTGTCAACGAAAACATATAATAAATCATTTGTCAGAGGCAAAATAAAGCTCAAAGTAATGTTTAGTTATAAAGTCCAACGCTCCTAAAAACCCGTCTCTGCCCCTTCAACTGAAAAACAGTAATTTAACTAATAATCAGGCCAGAAGTTTATTTAAATGTTTAAGTAAAGACCATAATCGATTGACATTAGCAAACAAAGTACCGCAGCTAACTGCGCAGGCAGAGAGGCGTGTAGGCGTTCATCTCTGTTTATAAACACGGCCAGCAAGCTAACGGTTAGCCAGAAACAGCTAGGTCACAACGTTAGCTTCTAGCTAACAAGTTCCTGCGTTCTTGTAAAGCAACGCATCCTACATCATTTAAACTCCAGTCAAAAAGTCCAGCTCGTTGCTTCTGTTTAATACGACAAACTAAAATGCAACTGTTTACCTTCCAGGAGCCGAGAAATGAGGCTATCCACGTTTAATTCGCCCTCCGCCATCTTCACACTGATGTCGCACACACACACAGTGACAGGCGGCGCTATATCCCTCCGCGGACACCAGGGGGCGCTGTAAACTACTAACTGCAATGAGAGGGACTCCGTGAGCAGGTGCAAAATAATTCCAGATCAGAGCTGCTGTCTAAATCAGTGGTTCCCAAACTTTTTATTTTCTGACCCACAAAATATTCATGGCAAAAACTTGTGACCCCAAATATTACTGGTCTGAGTTCATGAACTTCGTTAATAACCCTAAAAACGCAGGCTTTTTGACAATCTAAACAGCTTGTACACAAATATAAATACTTACTTTTACTTATTTTGTGTTTTTGTAATAATTATAGGGAAATATTACATCAGCAATTATTTTATTACCCTTTAAATTGATTTCTGGAGATTATCCAAGGTGCTTCATGACCCATAATTGGGTCCCAAGCCCAACTTTGGGAACCAAAGTGCAGTGGTTCCTGAACTTTTCAGCTTTTGACCCACAAAATAACCGTAGCAGAGACCTGTGCCCCCAGCTATTTTTAGATGATAAACATTTGTATCAGGTCAACTAAACATGGGCATAGTAACAATATTTTTATACTATATTTATCCATTTTAAATACACTACACTCACTCCTTTGTAACAAGGCAAAAATGTAATTACAGTAATTCAGAAAATCTTTTCAGGACCCCATCCTGATGTTTCGGGACCCCCACTTTGGGTCCCGACCCCAACTTTGGGAAACACTGGTCTAAATAACTGCAAAAACCGCATATAAATACAAGCATCTGTAGTTTATTTCATGGTTATAAAACGATCACGGTGTGCTCTGAGTGGTGGTTTTATTGTGCTTTTTGAGCGCCCCTGCTGCCCTTTGGTCAAGACAAACTGCATTTGGTTTGAAATAAACACACACGTTTTCTATATTTAATATCACAAATTATTTATTAAAACTAAGACTGAAAATAGGCAAGAATCAAACACAATAATGCAGTTACAAACAAAAACAACTGCATAACATAATTGTCCTAAATGCTCATTTGTGACAGTGTTTTGAGCATGTGCTGAGCATTTTCACTCACTTCATTTTCTTAAAAGTGTAGTTAAACTCTTGATTCAAAAACAAGACAGCAATAAGTTAAAGGAAATCATTGCACTGTAAAAAAACACAAAGTCAAAAAACTAAATCCAAATCAAGGAATTATTTTGTAAGCAAAAACAGTGATAGCTTGTGCGTTTGCTTATGTACAAAAAAAGGTGAAGTAACTGAAATTAGGTCAACAATGACGTTATTAGAAGAGCCATTTAGGAGGAACAAATCAGATCATTTTGATGTATTGAAACATATTTATACTCAGATTATTAAAGCATTCAAATAAAATGCTTTGCTAACATTGAGTGCGTACCCACATTTCAGAATTACTCGATATATGCTGTATCTGGAGTATTACTGAAGTAAACTTTCAAACTGCACTATTTGATACAGTCCAGGATAAGCTTTTAAATGTTAAGTACCTTTAATTTTGGGATTTATAAATATGCACATGAAAACAACTAATTATATTAGTTTGTGACTGAACTGTGTCATTAAGCTGTCAGAGCAGTTATACCATAATGTAGAAAACATACAGAAAATATGAAAGAACTTTTTGTTTAAAACCATCAAAACACATCCATCTGCTTTGATTCGTGACTTCTTTAAATAAAGACTTTTATTTTGAAGTGGATGCTTTTTGTGTAGACAGTAGTTCATTGCAATGATCAGAACATTTTAAAACTTTGTGGCCCTCTTGTCCACTGCATCTGTCTTGATCCTCTTTCTTCTCCTGTCTCTGTAGAAGAGGACGAGCCAGGTGACGGCACAGCCAATCAGAAGACCAATGACAGCCAGCACAGCAGCGAGCCACGCTGGGACGCCGCCCGAACAGTCGGCGGTGATCGGCTGGGCTGAGGTGACGTCTGCTGTAGGTGCTGTGGTCGAGCTGGGGAGACTGTTCGCTTTCGTGAAGATGTATGGCTGCTCCTGAAGCACACAAAAGCAATTAAATGCATTCGAAGCTGGCTGGTTTGTCCACGATGAGGTCAGCAGTAGCAGGTGCAGCAGCTGTCTTACCTCAGTGGGACACTTCAGGATATTTCTGGCATTTGTGAACTTGTTGTACATCTGTTTTTCGCCCACTGGCTCCAGCTAGAGAGAACAGAAACACGCCTGAGCTCGGCTCACGGACAGCTAGCCCTGTCGCGCTCGCTTTAGCCAGACTCACCATGTTATTCCACAAAGCAGCAGCCATGTCAGCGTGTCCTCGCTCACTGAAGTGGAAACAGTCCTCAGAGAAGTATGTGGTGTCGGGCTTGCCGTCCTGCAGAAGCCAACACATCACAGTGTGTATTACATGCTTTAAAGGGGACATTTTTCTGCCCCAAAACTAAATGTTTGTGTATTTGATGTACAGCAGTGACGAGTGGGCGTTGGCTTACACTATTCAATGGAACGACTGTATTTTTGAAAAATGGCTGGATTACTACTGCAAAGTCCTCTCTGCCGTCGTAGCGACCTCCCCGCACCAGGGCTTCAGTCTCAATCTGCCAGATGAATCCAGATGTTATTATTGCAGCTTTAAATGACCTCATTCAGAATGAACTGGTCGTGTCTACTAACTTGTAAATCCCGATTGATTCGTTTCATTTCCGACAACTCTGGTGAATCCTCTCCAGGTGCCAAAAAACAGGGACAAACTTGTCTGTGGATCAAAAGGTAGTTTTAACAAACTGACTCAGTCTCAGTGGCCTTGCTTATTAAAGAAAGACTGGAACGAATGAATGTTGCCTACTTTTGTAACAAACTGCACCCGAGGCTGTCCCTTTTGATCCTGCGAAGGCCTTCAATTTCCAGGATCTCCAGGATGTTGACAATTATTCTTGGAACCTCCGGCAAGAAAGGTTAAAGTTTATTCTTACAGCGATCAATGATTATGTGAGAATCACGAAGAAAGGATGAATCTAGGATGCTGCCTGTCATTTGTAATTTATCTCACCTCTTCATACAATATGTCCAAGCTCGTCCTCATATGATGGCTGTAGTTCTGCGGTGAAAGGGAGGCCTGCGAGAGATTATAATTATTAATTAGCATGGCTCGTTTGTGTCTTAATAGCAGAGAAAATCTGCATAATGAAGGGGTTAAGTCTGAATTTAATCACATCAATTCAGGAGCCATGCAACACGTAGGAGTTTAAATAAACAAGCTAAAAGCTTATCTTCATTTGCTGCCTTTTTTTCTCCTGTGTTTCAAAGGACAAACAGTTAAAAAAATAGATCACTTGGTCTAATGGAGTGAGAGAAGAAAAACAAGATGTAAAACCAAATCCAAACAGGATAAGGAGAGGGTGGACTCGTGTGTTGTTTATGCCTTTAGAGAACAAGGCCTCTCACTGTGCATGCTGCAGTTGGAAAGAGAGGCTGAGATGGACAAAACGCTCTCATCTCAGTCTGACACAAAACTAGGAGGGGAGGGCCGCTCACAAAACTTCATTATTCTGCTCCAGAGCTCAGATCCAGTGATATCATGAGACAGCTCCACACAACACCCAGGAAGGTTTAAACTGATGCATTAAAAAGATTCAGCCCACTTCTAGGATTTGTTTATTTTCTTTTTTCTTTTTTTCTTTTTTTGTTTCTACTTCTGGTGGACCCTCTCCAGGACTCACCCGGTCATTGCAGTACTGACACAAGTCGTTGCCTCCAATGAAAAGGGTCACAAGTTTCCAGTCGTTCTGAAAATCGATTGTCTGTTTGCATCCAATAGATCAAGAAAATTTCAGGGAAACAGACAAACGGAGCAGTAATTACTATAAAATATTACAATTCAACCATATTATTTCATAGAATGTATAATCACTCTTAAACTCACAGAGTCGTTCTTAATGGCATCGATCAGATGTCGAACCTGCTCCGGGATTCCTCTGTGTGTGATTAAACATAATCAAATACCTTTTTTTATGAGAGTATAAAATGCTGGCAGTGTTGTGCAATAATAGATAAGGTTAAAATGTTAGTGCTCACGCTATCTTGGCACCGGATACAGCCACATTGAAGCCAGTCTGCTCTTTTCCAGTCCCCTTGGACGCCCCTTTAATGTCAGGATTGAACTTCTTGAGGATATCTGATGCAAAAAAAAATTACAAAAATTAAAAATTCACTGCATAAAATTAAAAAAGAGCACTTGTTTTGTTTGGACTAAGGCTGCCATCTAGTGGTGTTAGGGTGCATTACAACAAGCAAAAAAAAAAAGGATGCTTACTTGGAAGTGTTGTTACGGTCTCTAGAGTATCATCCCCTCCGATGCTTGGTTATTGGAAAACAGGCAAGAAATGCATGAAATGTTCACACTGAAACATGAATGGGATTATGAATTGAGTGTGTGATGTCTCACCTCCATGACACACCTCTGTATTCAGTTTTTAAATCCTGAAGTCTCTTTGACTTTGCACCAAAGGCAGCCTGCACTCAGGAAACAGGAAAACATTTCAGACATGTGCTCTTCTGTTCTGTCCTCTGGTGTTTTACATTAAAACCCAGCTGTCAGCTGTTCTTTTTGTAGATTTATTGGGACCTAATTTATATTTCTGGAAGTGCCCTGATGCATCTCAGTAATCCAGGTAAAAAAATCAAAAAGAAAAAAATTGTATAGGTCTTCTGGACGGGTTCTTCTCTAATGAAATGTTTCGTGTCTCTTCCAAGAGACTTCTTCAGTCTGAGAGTTTCAGGCAAAATTCAGGCTTTTAGGCACTGCCTCCATGTGACTGATACTCACATCACATGGCTATAGTTGACACCTAACTAACACCTATTGTTAACAGGGGGTGGAGTGATACTGGCAATAGCAGCGCTGTAGGAGGGGGACAACTGAAAGCGGTGGCCTCCACCTCTGTTTAATGATGGACGGTCTTTCTTCACAAAAATGGCTTCTTTTACTCCTCTCTCAAACCAACGTTCCTCCCTATCAAGAAGAGAACATCCTCATCTCTGAAAGAGTGACCGCTGGCCTGTAAATGAGTGAAAACTGCAGAGTTCTGGCCATTAGATGTAGCTCGTCTGTGTTGGGACATTCTTTTGAACAGTGGCTGCTTTGTTTCCCCGATGTATAACTGGTCGCAGTCCTCCTGGCACTTAACAGCATATACAACATTGCTCTGTTTGTGCCGGGGCACCGGATCTTTGGGGTGAACCAGCCTTTGCCGTAATGTGTTTTGGGGTTTGAAAGCCACTGGGACATCATGTTTAGAAAATTAACGTCTCAGTTTTTCCTAAACACCCGCAACATACGGAATAACCACTGGTTTGGGGTCTTCATTTTCACCTGAAGGTTGCATGGAATCCTGTCTGTGTTTCCTGTCTGTTTTTAATATATATTTCTAGAAGTATTCAAACCTGCAAAACTTTATAAATATACTGTATACAACAAATACCATCATAACATTTTACCTTTCTGACTAAAATATTTATCTATACAATACAATGCAATAATTATTGTGTTTTAATTAACTTATTAGCGCAGAGGTTCTTCAGCTGGGGTCCCAGGACCCACAGGGGTACACGGGCCGTATCTAAAAATGTCAATAAATTGTTAACTTGTATTTTATTTTTAAAAATGTGTATGGGGAACAATGCACTAGTAAAACAAACATACTAAACCAAACAAAAATAACATTCTCATGGCATTTATGGGTTAAAATGATGAAGTTGAATAAGCATAAGGTTTTTGAGCGGGTCCATGGAAATTTTTCACATTTGTAAGAGGTCCTCAGATCCAGTTTGAGATGTCCTGTATAGCCCTGGTTTAAGGTAACTAAAATAGTTATGCAGCTGTAATACTTAAAACAAGTTTTCCATTTTTGGGCTATTTTTAGGATTCATTTTCCACACTTTTCATCTGCTTTAATAGCACAAACCTACCGTTATAGAGTCTCCTAAAGCACCCACCACCTTGATATCTGCTGGACGTAATCTGTGAACTAACAAAAACCCAACATGAGTATATGTTATATATTGCACAAGCCTTTTTTCTTAAAAGAGTCACCTAGATTCTTACCTGAAGTGGGTACAGAGTTGGATGGAGCTGTATGAACGCAGGAGAAATCACTGCCCCAATTCTAAAGAATGGCAAAAATATATTTTAGATATTTTCAGTAAGAATAAATAAACTCTAAAGTACAAATGCATGCTTTGCTCTGGTGAGAAAAGTATATATGACGTACGTTAACTGGACCAAAAGTTGGTGGAGGGTCTGGAAAGGTGTAGTTACTATTATGGGCTGTTCTCAAGAATGGGTTGTTCTGTAGTGGAAACATAACCAAGCTCCATTTTAATCCATGCAAGGATTTTAAAGCAGTACATAATCTAAAGTTTATAATGCCAAACAATACCTTGGGGGGGCATTTCAAATCTACTCCAGCTGTGAAGTCTACTTCGAAGGTCTTGTTACCCACCGGCTCCAGCTAGGAAATAATGAGAGACTTAAATTTAATATCAAATAAAATATGAGAGAAATGTCCCCTAATGGAGCAAACGTTACCATGTTGTTCCAGAGCGAACGAGCCATGAGTGTGTGAGCTTTCTGGCTGAGGTGGAAACAGTCTGGTGAAAAGTAAGAGCGATCCGGTCGGCCGTCCTTTATAAATGAAGCCGTGAGAAAAAAAAAAAAAACAGCATAAGAAAACAGGAATGAAGCCGACAAAAAGAGAGAGGATATTGAGCTGAATCTGATGATTTTTACCTCTAATATTGGAAGGAAAATCTCTCTGAAGAAAGGCTGCAGCACCACAGTGAAGTTGTCATGTGTATCATACCTCCCTGAGTCAATCAGCTCTCTCATAGCAGACTGAATGTAAAAAATAAAAATAAAAATAAAAAAATAAAGCAATAAAAAAATGAATGTATAAAGTTGTCATTCTTTAACATCTTAAATGTTACACAGATGGTTTACCGGGATTAATTGCAAAATTGGGCATTTTTCCTCCTAAACAATGTAAAATGGTTTTTATAAAACTTGCTGAAAACATTTGCTTTATTTGCACCTGATAATCTCTGTTGAAGTCATTCAACCGCTGTAGTTCAAATGATCCATCAGTGGGCTTCAGCACACAGGGGCAAATTATACTGAAATGCAAAAATCAGACCTGGTCAGTAGTTAAGTGTGATTTTAATTAGTTCAAACAAACACAAAGTGACTCACTTTACAAACCAGGTGGGACAACCCAACAATTTATCCTTGTGCAAATCACGCAGCGGTGCAATGTTAAACAGCTCGACAAAATTTACAATGGCACGAGGCACCTGGAGGAGAATGAGCTCTTTATTAGGCTTTCTGTGATAAGTACAGTGATTTTAGTGCAAGAAAATGATGACATACTTCACTATGGAGGATATCCAAAGCTTGGCGGATTCGACTGACCACATTGCTGGGTGAATAGTAAATCTGAAGGACAAAAAAAAAACTTTTTCATTAATTTAATTTCATGTCTTTCAAGGAAAAAGGGTAATAGATTTTGGTTCTAACATAAATTGTTATAACCATACATGCATAAACAAAACTAATGAAATGTGTGGGGGGTAAAGAGCACTCACACTGTCCGAGCAGAAGTCACATATGTCATTGCCACCGATGAACAGAGTGATCACTTTCCAGTCGTTGTGGAAATTAACGCGCTAAAGAGGAAGATGGGTAAATGTTTAGCGGGTATATGTCAGATTACTGAGATCCTAAATATGTTTCTGCCTTACTGGGTCATTCTTCATTTTGTCCACTAGAATGCGCACCTGTTCCACCATGTTACTGTAAAGGAGAAGAAGGTTTTTGAAAAACAGCAAACTTATCAAATGTTCTTCTGAACATCTTATGATGGTGGAGGAATTTGTGTGCCTGAATGATCTGACTTGCTGGAGAGACTATGTCTCTCCAGCCGGCCTGGGAACGCTGCTGAATAGCTGGAAAAGGTGGCAATGGGAAGTGAGGTCTGGTGCCTCCCTGCTCAGGCTGCTGCCCTCATGACTTGATTGGGTAAACTGACTGACCCGCTCTTTGCTCCGGGCACAGCCTGGTTCAGAAAGGCTTTTGGACTGTCCTTTGTGCAGATTCCCTCTGAAAATCCAGTCAGGGCAGGATTAAACTCCCTCAGGATGTCTGCAACAAAGAACAATAATTTTTTTTTAAGTGTGTCTATGTAAGTAAGTTGGCAGGCAGGCAGGCAGGCTGGTCGGTCGGTCGGCCTTTCAGTCAATTAGTAAGTAAGGAAGGAAGGAAGGAATTAAGTAAGTAAGGTAGGAAGGAAGGAAGGAAGGAACTAAGTAAGTAAGGTAGGAAGGAAGGAAGGAAGGAAGGAAGGAAGGAAGGAAGGAAGGAAGGAAGGAACTAATTAAGTAAGGTAGGAAGGAAGGAAAGAACTAAGTAAGTAAGTAAGTAAGGTAGGAAGGAAGGAAGGAAGGAAGGAAAGAAGGAACTAAGTAAGTACGTAAGTAAGTAAGTAAGGTAGGAAGGAAGGAAGTAACTAAGTAAGTAAGTAAGTAAGGTAGGAAGGAAGGAAGGAAGGAAGGAAGGAAGGAAGGAAGGAAGGAAGGAAGGAAGGTAGGTAGGTAGGTAGGTAGGTAGGTAGGTAGGTAGGTAGGTAGGTAGGTAGGTAGGTAGGTAGG